AGAACAAAGTCTTCTCTAGCAAAAGACATAAAAAGTACGCGCGACATGAAAAATCCAAGCCAAGATGTAAAAAGAGCCCCGTGTGACAGAAAGTCCTTCCAGGTACTGCCCAGTCAACCAATACACTTTCCAAGTGACTTGTCTACCCGGGAAAAAGCTAAGATATGATCTCCAGGTAAGGAACAGTTTAACATAATCACTATGAGCCTTATCTCATCCTTTATACCTATCTGTAATTCCTCTCAGTTCACATAATACTTGAACCTGCTCAAATTTCGATGTTTATTTTTTTGTTCCGAAAACTAAGATCCCAAAAAAATCCTTAGGAGTTCTCAGAGAACTTCACGTTCTCGATCAGATACCTTTCGCCTTCACCTCAGTTTTTTTTCTCTTGAAACGCCAGCGTCAATGTGGTAGGCGGAGGCACCGCTACGTTATCCACACCTAGCCCGAGGGTAAAGTTTGGGCAGGGCATGTATGAGATTTTACAGAAGTTCTCCTTCTGGCACGACCCCTTCCACGTCGCTCTAAATTTTTGCCAAATTATCCCACTCTGTGGTTGCGCGGAGGTGAGGGGCTAGGATGTGGATAACGCACGTGAGCCAGGAAAAACTGAGAGAAATCAACGCCCGCGAAGTGTTCCTCTCGGAGGCAAACACGAACCCTGGCTTGGAATCCCTGATGTACGATGTGCCCTGCGTTTATGAGTCAAAATTTTGGACAGCTTAACGCTTAAAAACCTTACAGGGAGCCTTCTACACGGGGGCGGGGCCAAAAAAAAAAGCTTCCGCGCCCGAGCCACCATATGAGCGAAGTTTCGAGGCAGCGCAGACAGAAAATGATATGTAAGATACCCAATGATCTTCCTCTATAAGCAGAGACGGCTCGACATTCACTTCATGAAGCCCAAAAATAAGTCATAACTCCAGTCGCGGCTGAGTGAGAACGCCTTTTGAATTCACGCGCAGCGCCTCCAACGCTGGGCGGAACTTCTTGAATGGAATACGCCCCATGGTAGCCTAACTCTGGGGACCAGTTCACTCTTGATGACTGCAAGACCTCAAACATCGAGCAGCGTCGGCAACGTCGCTACGGCTCCAGGAACATTTCCTTCAACCGTATCGCCGTAGGCGTAGATGATTGGAATATTACCCGGGGTACCTTGAAGGGAAGCCACCGATAATTTCTAACTTGTAGACCCGCGACCGAAGGTGAGGCGCTGTACGTTACTATCAAGTAACTCGAGAAGAATATCCTCCCTACATGTGGTCGCCCGTACCTTCTTGGAAACTTTGTACTGCTACAACATTGGGTGCCACCACGTGGAATCGAAGGGCGTTGGAAAAACTTTCGCCTACTTGGGATGGAAGATCGTTGAGTACCTGGAAAAGGTGGAGTATTTAAGCGGGGGTCCTGAACTAAACCCCCTTAAATTACTGTCCGCGCAGTTAATCAGGGTGGTCTTATCGCGTGGCGGAGAACATCGACTCATGTCGCTGATCTCAGGACCACAATCGGCGTTGCGCTGGACAGAATCTCTTCGATGGCGCTACTCCAGAAGGCTGTGGCGGAGTATCATTATAGTATTTAATGTGCTCTTTAATATGGTAGTAAAAATGTCCGATAAAAATTTAATAAAGTGTAACTTATAGCGCCTTGAAAGTCATGGAGGCAAAATGACTTTTTTTTTTGCCCCCCCCCCCCCGGCCTGTATGCAGGACCGGCCTTTAGCCGGCGCTGAAGGTTTTTTCCTCAACCCAAAGAAAAAAGTAAGCGCAAAATCAGCAATCCTCCCCCTCGCCCCGCACATAGCACAGTGTAGGCTCAAATTGCTTCCGTGACATGTCAACAACGAATCTTCATTGTGAGAAGAAAAAGGAAATACGTGCGTATTTCAGAGTAAACACCGAAGAAACTCTAGTGCCCTAAAACAAAAGCATCCCTGACAGCTTGTTTCTAATAACTTCGTACCACTCGCTGTAAGTCTTATGGTGCCAGCCGGGATTGGCTTGGGGTCCCCCTCAGAATCTTCTTTCACCTGTTCTGTTTCCCCGATGTCCAACGGACTAATACAGATTGAAAAGCGGATATCGATTTTTCAGGTGAACTCAGTTTACCCACGAAAAACCACTGCTTACTGGAAAATATTGTCCAACGACTCTAAGCAACCAACCACGCCGATTGTACGGGCAGAGAGATGGAGAGCCATTGTACATTCCGTGAATGGTTCTCTTTTTCCGCCCAATACAACCAGTGCCTTGATTAGCCACCTCGTGGCAAGCTATGTATGTTATATTCACGTTAATGATAGATGGTTGCAGATCTTCTGCCAAGAATTTTCGGAGAAATGTGGAGTGCCAAACGTTAATCTCTACCCGAGTCGTCACGCCAACCCAGCGGACGAAGGTCGTCCAAAGGGTTACGGTCAAAAACAACAAAATGGTCAACTCGGCCTTGGAAGAAGCTGGGCATTCGGATTGGGAGCTATACCTGGTCTGGCTTACTGTTTTTTTTACGTTTACCCGTTCTTTTTATAGTATCCTGTTGTTTGTGAGCGGAGATGGAACGTTGTAAAGTGGCTCCACTCCAGATGGTTTAGGGGCCGAATTCGAGGTCGAGTCCTAGTCTTCATCCAGCCAGCCATATTTGGCTGGAAAAGGGAACCAAGGGGCATAGAGGGATTGTGGAACAAGGGTCGGGCAAAAAGACTAACCTATACCTCGTCTGGTGGCCGCAAGACGTTGTTTGGGTGCTATAGATCTTCAAATGCCACTACATTTCGTAATGACGTTCGGGTACATGGCGTATCTTACTTAGGTTAACATATGAAGAAACGATCGATTCCTTACTGAAAATTAACAAACCAGTTTTTTCAGGGTTCGAGGTAACATCCAGCCAAGGAACAGATATTGGTGCCGGAAACCTTCCATTTCTCAATCAGGTACTATTTTTAGCACTCAGCCTGCGCTACTCCTATAGGCGCAGTCGGGCCTTGCCGCAGTGCCTCTGTCATTGGTGCACTCCCCGTGTAAAAACCGTAAAGAGTGGGAACACGAAGGGATGAAAGGGAAAAGGCTCTGTGGCAGACCCGTCTCCGCCGACACGGCTAGCCTTCACAACTCTTGCACACTTATTTATCCCTTATTATGGACGCATGGGCAGCTTTGAGGATATGCGATAGGAGTGATCCCAGTTACGGACCATATAAGCAGGTCGGTAGTAACGACTTGGATTTGTATTGACCTGACAGGTTTTAAGTTACGGGGTGCGGGTCTGGTTAGTTAGCGCGACATTCCATAGTTAGTTGACCTCTTACTTTACTAAATCTTAACATTCAAGTAGCCGTAGCATGAATGCCGCCCACGCGAATACCCTCGTGGACTACTTTTGGCGCGCTCTGAAGCTCGGATTCCAAAAAGCCATTCTACGAATCGGATTGCCTATCAATGTAGTCGTAAGCGTATTGGCGCTCGACAACCTCAATGTACCCTAAAGTAGCCAGCAATTACCACAGTCCATTTATACATGTAAGAACTGTGAGAACAGTTTCACCGCACAGTTCGGCGGTGATGGGGGCATCAGATGCTTGAGGAAGTATGTACAGGGGGTTAATGAAGATGAAAATCTGTGAGCTCTTGTGACCAATGTGGCTCACTTGTAGCATTTCGCAGCTTCACAAAAGTTTACAGGTCTTACCACAATGAAATCTGTCAGTTAATGAGAATTAGCAGATGAGACAAGCGAAAGAGCAAGGTGCCCTTCCCAAGCCAAACGGCGCCCAGCTTCTCTTTACGAAAAGTTCAATATTATAATGTTCAGATCGGTGGCATCATGCTCAACCATGGAAGTGAAATTGGAGCTCTGGGACACAGAACTGGCAGAGGACCTGCACGATCACTGAATGCTCTCACGCACGGGTGAGGGACCTTTTTCCCCTCATTACTCTATTTTTTTCTGTAATTCACGCCTCTTTTCTAGTAGTTGCGAAGCGCCCCAGATCCAGCAAATTTCATAGCCGAATGGGGTATTTCCCGTACGGGTGTACGTTCATAGTGAACGATCGGCGATCCCGCGACAATGGGCGACTTCTGCGATTGGTGATATAGAGCGCCCCTCATCATATCTGTGTGTATTTTGATCACGATTTCTCTCGCTCCGTCGCTTACCGCCAGACCGCTTGGGTTGCGCGATTGTTGATCGTCGGGTATGAACGAAACCTAACTTCTAATCTTTTTGAGTCGTTCTCCTATTTAATTCAAATTCAGCCTCCTCCTTTCCTGGGAATTCCGCCGAAATCATGGTATAACTCAGAGCGTAACGCAAAAAATAACCCTAACCCAATTTCTGGGCGCTGTGGCGATTTTCGGGCTGAAATCGCTCACGCCAACAACGCCGCCTTCCTTCTTCCCAACAAGAATTGAATTGAAGGCCCATGACCACTATAATCCGGGAGGAACGAGGACCAAGTATGCACTTCCAAATGCCGATTAGATTACCAGTGAAGAAAAGAGTGGACCAAATCATAGAAGGTGCCCTATATAAGGCCCGATCATTGCACAGGCTTTCGAAGAAGCGACTGTGCGGGCAAGAGATTCCACACAAAAATGAGAAGACAGAAGGACGAGTGAGCGACAATGGCTCGGTCCCACATGGAACGAACAGCGTCTCACAGTTGTGTTTGCAGACACAGAATTGCCGGCATATCTCGTCTCCATATAGGCGGAGCACGCCCTGCTGGTGGCGCATCTTCGGCATGTGAGGGAGGGTGCACCCTCGTCACTAACCATAAGTGTGGAGCCGTGGAAGTGGGACAGTCGTTGAGACTTTAGACCGTACTACCTGAAAAGAAGAAGTTTCACCCACGGGGAGTGTGTCTTTAGGGCCCACTTTATGTTGGTTGTTTGGGCGGAGACAGAGAACCGCTGCGCTTTCCTTATCGGTTGGGCGCATTCCTCCGCAGCTTTGGAAGGAGGGACGCAATGAAGGTAAAGGCAGTGGATGACTGCTCCTGCCCCATAACAGAACGAGGACTACGCACATAGGCATATGTAGGCTACCTGTGTGGGCTACCTGTCAGGGAGAGCCGAATGTCTGGCACATCTTACTGGTAACAGTTACCACCTCATTTTATTGAAAAAGAAGAGAAAAAATGTTTAAAGAATTATAGCTGTTATGATACTATATAAAATCATATGAAAATTGTATTACTTATTCTTTACTCCTTGAGCAACCTTGAGATCAGCAAATGTACGAATTTCTGAAATGACTACTCTCTTATTATTCCAGATATCCCTCATTTGGTCTCGCTGGAGCGCCAACGAAACGGCGACAAAAAGCTCAGCCAGGAAGTGCTCAACTCTTTCGGCATACCAAACATTCTGGGTCGAAAGAATGGTAGCACCGGGGGATACATTTGCTCCTTTCACTGGCTACAATCCTTGCCAACTCGGTGCTGAGGCAACATTTCAGTGTTCGGAAAACTCGGTGGAAACCGGCCAAAGAAGCCTGTAGTGGGCTACGAACCAGGCTATGGTGCAGTGAATCCCAATGCTCCACTTGCCATCGGAAAGGTACAATTTTTTGATTGCGTGCTAATCGCATCAGGGTGATAAAAAAAAATGATGAAAAAGAGAGCTGAAGAAGGGCAGCTCCGAAAGAGGAGAGGTTTTTTGCAAGTACGGTGGATCGCTTGCAGGCCGCAAACCAGAGCTATTAGCTGGAGCCACGCCCCCCCTGCCAGGCTCTACGTGGCACCGCCAACGGGTGTTGCGGACGCCCATACGGGCAACTGGGTTTGTATGTTAGGGTGAAGACGCGCCAAGGGCAGGCAAAATGAAAGAAAATAAAACTATTGAAAATAAAAGTATATGGGAGATCAGACCAGCTCCTCTATAGTCAGTAGCATACACGGCTTTCCCGACACGCCCCGACGGCTAAGTCCATGTAGAACATTGTCGCCCTTCCGAAGACCAAGAATATGGACTGCATGCAGTACAGGTCCCGTGAAGTTACTCGATTGCGGTTTGAATAGGCTCCTGGTAAAAGGTTACCTATGCAGATAGCGCCACACTTGACGGACAAACTCTCAGGTACAGAAATCATGAAGTACTATGAAGTTGATGAGACAGCATGATAGAACTACGAGATGTGTTTAGGCGCTGATCAGGCAGATAAAATTTTCCTCTCTGGTTTCACGCGAGCGACGGTTGACTGCCATCCAAGGACCTTCCAGGAGGTTGTCGGTGACGTTGAAACGCTCAGAAGGAGGCGGATTCGTTAATTGTGAAAATCAGGACATGCATGCGTGTGTCTTATTGCCTTCTGCGCCTACTTTTTTCTTTCTATTTATGAATTACTGCAATAGTTCATTTGCAATTGTACTCTTCCTAAGGGACAAATAGCTTTACGCAACATTATTGCTTCTGGTATTATGTTATCCTCCTTGGACTTGGCGCTATGTCGCGGAGAAAGCCAGTCTGCAATTTCCCGGAAGGGTTACTGTAGCCGACAATTACTACGAGGGGAGCTCCCACTTGAGTGAGCCAGTTACTAATGTGGCTTTTTCTATTATATTATTTCATGCAACCCTCTGGGAGAAAAAAGATGATCCACTGGTAGCTCTCCCCGACAGAAATTGGTCAGACTGGCCCCTTCCTGAGCGCATTCTGTCTTGAGATTCATCTACGCTTTTCTGCTGTTAATCTCACCTATCACGCTGTTTTATCTAGGTACCCTATTTTTTAGCGCTACAAGTTACAACTCGACAGGAATCGGAATGTGCTAAAGCTTCTGGCTGGGCTTCCGAGTCCTACTGGGAACTAAAGCCTTTGTCTCCTTCAACAAGAGCACCCCTCCAGCCTATTGTGATTCCTTCTGAGCATTTAGTAGTGTAATAAATTGTTCAAACATTTCAAATAAACAAAAATGTTTTTAAAATGGGTTTAAATGAGTGAGCACACGATGTTTCGGAGTATACTGGCATTTGTGAACGACCTACTAGCCGCTGGAAGCTTTTCTGTTGATTCACTAGCCGGAAAATTGATTGAATAAGCTTATAAAAACATAATAGGGTCTAGGGTATCTTACCGGTCAAAGGTGTGGTTGTCACTTATCCCTCCGCTTCTCCAAATCAAGCTTATCGTCCGTTCCCGAGTCTCGCTATAATTTCTGTAAGGGCAAAAAAGGCAGCAAATTTGGAGCTGATCTGTCCGTTTCAGGATTACCCATTTTTTTCTTCTTCATTCATAAGCTTAGCTGAAAGCCTCCTAGAATTGCTTGAGGGAGCCCAACGTGTTCACCCCTCATGACTCTCGTACGAAAAAACCCTCTCCGGGATGGGTTACTTGATCAACTCGGAGAGAGTGGACACGGGATTAGACCGACGACCCGAACGACTGGTCAGCGACGGCACTTATGGCTATAGTATGTCCACCTAAAAAGAGAAAACAAATAGCCTTGTTGGCTGCGGATGCTGAGGCGTATCATGGCTAGGAGGGGCGCAGGGCCACCCCGTTCTCTGTTCTCCACCAACAGTGAAACGACC